TACATAACAAGAGTGAGAGTGTGTCAGAGACTAGAAACTGCAATCCCACACTTTTGCTCTCATATCCTCTTCCCCAAACTGGGGTTCTGATCAGCTTAAAGTGACAAGGCCGCTGTCCTCCAAATCTGGGCAAGCATTAAATAAGCGCTTTACTTTTGCAAATTAATTGTTGAGATTTTGCAAATCAATTTTTTCCCACACAAAAGCTTGCAACTTGCATCTGTTCCACTTCAGCATTCTGTACCTGTATTGACTGATGGAAGGGAGGTCTGAGGTAATCGGCAGGTTTTATGGACAGAACAATCTGATGATGTATCTCACACAGCCTTGATTTAAAAGCTCCAATGACAGAATGCCAGAATGTGATATGCTAATAATTGATGCAGTGACAATCAAGCAAAAGGACACCCCATTTTCCATCTCTCAGCTTGACCTTTCTAGCTTGGCAAAGCAGCCTCTAGATATCAAGCTCTAACCTTAACTCTAGGAAACTCACTCAGGCTAGACTTGGGCAGTTGATTTGGAAGTCTTCTTATGGACTTCAATAGAAACTGCTACTAGGAAAAAACAGGAGGAGTGAAAACTTTAGTGCAGTGAATTTTTTTTAAAGTGTTATGAAAAAACCATTTCAATGTCCTTGTGGTTCTGTGTCTGAAGGAATGATAAATCACAGCAGACACTTGCTAGGGACTAATATTTGTTTTGCAAGAAGCTCCTGGATATTTTTGAACGGTAGAGTCCATGTATGGAACTTCTGCCTCATTATCTCTGTTTTTAAACATCCGATAAGGACTGTTTGTCCTCAAAACAGGGTCCTCACACAGCCTGTCCAAAGCATCACAACCCAAACAGTTCAACTTGGGCCCATTCCAAAATTCATGTTCACTTATTTCTATTTTCTCTACCAGATTCCTGGAGCTCACTGTAAAAGTTATGCTCCTGGCTCAGAGACTGCGCTTCACTTGGCCAGCAGAGATCCTACATACCCCCACTGCCTTGCCCCAACTGCTATCCATATTAGCCTAGGCCTGTCGGCTCCAAAAAAATACTTTCTCTCTCTCTGATCAGGCTGCTCAAGAACCACCACTAGACCTCTCTAATATCAACAAGAATCATTCTTGATGGTTCTTAAATATGAACTCATTGTCTGCTGTTACAAGTGAAGCACTCTCCATTGCTCACAGGACATATTTGGAGAGGAATATGAAACAAAAGGCTGGATTATAAAATTTATTGTGCGAAGAGATGCTTGATCCAGTGGACTGAATCACACTATGCAGGCTGTTGCCATTCACCTCAGGCTTTATTACTTTTATGTATGGACAAAGGGAGCATAGGGCAGGAAGTTAGTCTGGAGAGGTTATCAGAGAAATGCAGACAGACAACAGAGGCTGTTGCAAATGCTCACCAAGTCTGATCAACACGTTCAGGGTCCCTGCAAGGAGGGGAGAGAAAGCTCAGAGGGGAGACTAAACTGAAGAAATTTAAAAATGAGTGGCAAGATGGTTTTTCCCTACAGTCTGACAGAGGGTAGTATATAATTGATTTTTTTTTGTTACAAATGCTTTCCAGAAAAACTGTTCTGTGAAAGAACAGTTAGTGAATTGTGAGAAGTAAAGACCACAGTACCACTCACAGAGGATGCTGCTGCCCAATGCATCTCTACATGACTGACTGCTTTAGATCTTCTATGTCCAGGGCTGTTAGTCATGCAGAGACTAACTGAGTGGACTCCACTGAGGAGTAACTCACCTTCAGGACTCCCTCCACCATGGATGGAGGAGAAAAATGTGCCTTGGGAATCAAAAGTTTTGAAAACACTGTTCTGACTATTAAGGGAGCAGTTTTAGAAACACTGTTTTGACTATTAAGGGAGCAGATGTGGCATTTTCCACCCCAAATTTAATAAATTGTTACTTGTTCCTTATAAGCATTCTCAGACATCAAGGATAATATGGTTCTGATTTCAAACAACAAATGGGGAGCTTCCAATACTGTGCAAAAATTCTTTTCTATAGTATTTTAGTCCACAGTAGAGGAGTTCTCTGTATTAGAGGATTACCTTGTGTTCAAAAGTAGAGTATAAGGCACAGCAACTACCCAGATGCTAATCAGCAGAATGAATTTGGGGAGAAAAAATTATAAAAAGAGACAACACTGCTCAATGGCAAACATAATACAAGTTAGCAAGACACCATGAAACAAGACAACCTACTAAAACAAGAGCAGAGGGCCAACCTTCTCAAGTTCCTTTGGCACATACAAAAAGCATCACAAACATGTAGCAATCACAGAGTACTTTAGACTGGAAGAAGCAAGACCTGTCCCTGCCAGATATAAACATTTGGAAATGCATAACAGTATTAATTTTTCAACTGACTCCAAAGGAAGCAGTGAAGCTCTAGCAAGGTGGAAAAGGTGCACAGGCAGCAGAATTTGGGCGCTACAAATGAGGCAGTTGGGGAAGAAGAATGTTTTTCATGGGGCTCAAGTCACTGGGAAGCTCTCTGAAACAGCACTGCTCTTTTGCACACCCCATTCATTTCATGGGAATTGGCACAAACCACTGAGTTGTGTCCCAAGTTAACAGTGAGGGGGGTAGGTGTACCATATGAATTTTCTGCCTCGAGCTCTAGCACATTTTGGGGCAGCCCTGACCAAATCAATTATAAGCTGAAGGGGATCAGCACATCTCTAATTACAGCCCTCTCATCTGGTGTTTGCCCCACACAGAGAGAGCTATACACACAGGTAACAAAAGGGTACTGGTATGCTTTCCCTCATGGGCCAAACAGTAGTTCTTTACATCAGAGAAATGGTGCATACGGGTGTGTGTTGTGCTCTAGCTGACCACAGGCAAACTACCACCTCTCTGCCTCAATCCAACAGCTCCAAGGGGGAGGGAGAAGGGAATAATAATAATAATAATAATAATAATAATAACAACAACAACAACAACAACAACAACAACAACAACAACAACCTACCTCGCCGCAGGACTGTTATAAGGATTACTTGAATTATATACAAAAATTCTTTGAGCAATTGAAAACATCCTATATACATACCAGGATGTTATTTTATCCTTGTGTTGGAAGAAATAAAATGGGACAGGCTATTTCTAAATACTCCTGCAGCCTATATAGAGCAAATTGCTTCTGATTCCCATAAGAGACATGAAGCAGATGCAAACAACATGAAATTCAACTGCCCTCGTAGCCCTGCTTTTTCTAGCAGGGGCTTATACTTTCTGCAGCAGAAGATACAGTTTATTGTTATGGCTGGGGACCAGCAATCCCTCCAAGATAGGATTACTACCTGGCTTATCAGCAACATTTTTATCAAACTGTTCTGCCTGTAGCACACATTACCTGCAGTGATGCTTCCTGCTAGCAAGCCAGAATGCACTGTCGCAGCCGTAACAGTGTGCAGCCAAGTGATCAGGAAGCCACCGTGTCACCTAGAAAGGCAAGAGATAGCTTTAAACAAATTAATGTAGTGCAAGTTTAATAAATAAAAATAACAGAGCAAAGGAAAGAAATCTCATGATTTGCAACAAACAGCAGACATTGATTACTGCCAAAGAATAAAAGAGAAAAATCTTCTTTCAATATAACCCAAACACCAAATTCGATCAGCCACAGGGGGAAAAATCATAGCCAAATTTCCCAATTTTCTTGTACAGTTAAAAGCTACACAAGCCAAACACACTGATACTGCATGTATTAGTCATAATTTCTCAAAGAGAGTCCAGAGATAGGTGCTAGCAGGGGGCTTCCCAGCATGGAAACAAAGTATTAGAAACAGGAACAAAAGGCAAGATTTACAAAGACCAGTGTTAGAGCTGAACGGATATATATGACAGCTGGATCATTAGTATCATGGGCTGATGTAAGAAAAGGGAGAGGAAGGCCACGGAGATGGATTTTGCCTGTACCTCTGTGTCCTGTTTATCCACCTGCTCCCAGCTGGCTTCAGAGAAAATCTCTGTACTGCAGCGAGACAAGCAGTTCTGATCCAGATTGCTTTCCGAGTCAGGTATTGAAGTCTGTTGGTAAACAAACACAGCTGAACAGAACCTAGTCTCAAATTCTATGCAACATGGATTAGACAGCTGAGAGCGGGGAATCTGAACTTTCCAGCTAAAAAAAGATAAGATTATGGTTGGGGGGGGATGGCCACTTTTACTACTTTCCATGCTGAAACAAAGATGTTGCAGGTAAGAACAGTATTTTACGTGGTTTTAGCTGGAGCACTTCCAAAGTTTTACTATGCTGATAAAAATTCAAGTGATGAAACTGACAGACACCTGTTATCTACTCTATCCTACCTGTCTTTGTGTAGTGAGTACATTTCAGGGATGGCAATGGTGCAAATGGACATACACAGTCACAACAGAATGTAAAACCTCCAGTGGTAATCTCTTGAACACTCAACCTCTGGTTTCTACCAAGACAAACTTCTTTCATGCCACAACAGCGTCATAAAATTCCAGTGCTGAAATTCATTCCCTTCTGAAAGGATGATCCCCGCACCCTGCTCAAGCCTATAACAGTTCGACGGCACGCAAGGGAACAAGACTTGCCTGAACCAAACTGAAGCAGAAGAGCAAACCAGCCTTGAACATGCAAACATTCAATGTGGAGGCAGGAGAAAAACCAGCTCAAGGAAGAAGTGGAAGATACCTCCTAGTCCAGTCCAAGAAAGTCTTCCTCCTGGTATACACAGAGATCATGCACGGAAACTGGATGGCAGCAACTGTGTGTGTGTGTGTGTGGGGAATCAGTAGTGATGTACAAATTTCCCTCTAGATAAATTTTGGTGAGGCAATGAAGAGTGACAGCTGCAACAGCGCATCAGGCATTCCTACTGGTAGCGAGAGTGAAGACATCACTATTGAGAACAGTCTTTGGAGCTTTTTCCACTTGAAGGCTCTGTAAGTTGGGTCCAGCATTGCTTACGCAGTTCCTATGCCAGCATTCACAGATCCTGCTGTTCCCAGTTCCATACAGTTACCACACTCTCCTCTGTGGATGATGCCTCCCAGAGAGGCATGTGGAAGAATATACTCCATGCTGCCTCCTGTAAGTCAAGCACCTTACACCACTAGTGGGGCCAAACAGGAGTTTCTAGGTATAAAGAGGCAGAATGGGCTTCGCCAGTTTGCATCTTGCTGGTGCCTGTTTAGCACATTACCTTGAAATCAACCAGGAGTTCTAAGAATTTCATAGTCATTCCTGTCAAACTAGTTTGAACTCTGTTGCTTTTTAAAAGAACTTAATAAGATAGTTTCAGAGGGTAGCCATGTTGGTGTACAGTAGAAGAGCTAGATTTGAGTCCAGAAGCACCTTAAAGATCAACAAGATTTTCTGGGGGTGGTATAAACCTTCAAGAGTATCTGACAACGGGAGCTTTGAGTCTCAGAAGCCTTGTACCCTGAAAAGCTTGTTGGTCTCTAAGGAGCAACCAGATTCAAATCTATCTGTTCTTAACAATCCCTTTGGGTTACAAGATCATCAAAGGTAAGAAATTAAAACCAGAGATCGCTTTCAGTTCTCAGACCAAGCATTCTTTAAAAGAAGGACTTTACCTATCTTTGTTTACAGGTATGTGGTCACATAATATAACAAGTGCTTGCTCCTAACTATGACTGGGAATTCACACCTATTCGGGCATTTCTGAGCCCAGATACAAAGAAATGGAAGTCAAAACCACATTCCAATATGAAACCCAAGGACCCGACAACAAGCATGAAGCTCAGCAGAACCTACAGTTGGAATGCCAAGATTGCCCCAATATTGCGGGTACAGTGGTGGTTGTATCATTGGCACACACTACTTGCAAACTGACCTGCCAGCACATCCAGCTTCCCAACCCCATTCTATATGTAAGGAACAGGCAAGTGTCTATTTACTTGCACTTCCAAGATTTCCTTCTTTAGCTATTTTCAACCGAGAAACCACCAAGAGCAGCTTGAAAAGAAACAAGTATTTTTTCAAATTATTTTGGCAGTATGAAAGGACAAATGTCAGGTTATGGGACATATGGGGGGGGGGAATCTCCCACTTGCACACACACACATGTCTTTTTGAACAGTTTCAAGAAAGGGAGGGAAGGGGACAGCGAGGGGAGTCTGAAAACAGTCCTCAAGTATACGCTGAAATTCAACAGGGGCTGAAAACACTGCTTCCCTTTAAAGACTCTACCTGGCAGCACATTAAACCTACACACAGTGAAGTCAACTAGGATCATAGTGTGCACATTCAAATAGAGAAAACTGCATCTCACCTTACCCTACAAACGGTTTAAAGAATTCACTGAGGGGGCAGTGTAGAGACACATATAAATATACATAGGGTGCCTCCCAACATACTCCCAAATGCCAGGACTCATATGGCAATTTTGCTTTCAGACAGGCACCAAGAGAGCTCTCTCACCAGATTACAGTGGAAAAGGCAGGGGACATGTGGCTGCTGGCTGGCCCCCTGCCTATCAACCATCTGCACAATTGCTTTTGAGACCTCTTAAATCGATCTCACAGTAGCACGGATAACAACTACTACAGATATCTGGATAACAATACCTACAGATATCTGGACAGTACCAGTGTGCAGAATGGTTTTGACCCAAGGATTATCAACTGCTGGCCGTCCACTGGAGAACCTCTGAAGCACTCAGAACCCTTGTTTAACTGCTCATCTCATACATGATTATTTACCCTCTGCTCCCCCCCCCCAAAGTGCTGTTACTCCTACCAAAAAGCAGTAAGCAGGCTTATAAGCAACCACTTGCTCAGCTGTGTGGAGCAATTAAGAATTACCTCCAGGCAACCAGGGAGAAAAGCATTTGTGGAGGAGAGCCCACCCAAACGCTACTTTTCTTGCCTTCAGCATTCTGAAAATTATTAGCCTACATATCTGTGGGCAAGAGGGCTAGAACATGTTTGTCAGCTATTCGTTTGTCAGCTATTTTGTGGGTGTAGCTTTGCAAACATTCACCTTACCATAGGCACAACCCACAATGACTGTTTCCTTGACTTACCACTTCATCTCCATAGTCACCATTGAAACGTAGCGAGCTGTTCAGGTACTGGCTCTCCAACCGGCTCCTCAGCTCTTGCACCTGCTTCTTTAACGTCTCCACCTCTTGCTGATGTCCAGTTTCAATCTGGCGGAGGCGCTGCTGAATTACATCAGCATAGATTGGCATCCCATCATCATCCAGATGGCTACGGGCAGGCTGGTCTGGGCTATTTGCTGTCTGGTGCCGACCTGCCACGGTATGAATCCCCTTGTGGTGCAGGTTCCTCAGATGCAATGGAGCAGAACTGCAGCTAGCTGTGGAGACCTGCCGGCTCAGAGGGACCTTTATCCTACCTTCCTCTCCATTCACACAGTGTCCATTTGGCGCAGGGTACTTCTGGGTAACACTGAACCCTGTGGGTTTCTCTGTCACCTTGTTCTCAGACTCCACCTCCCCATTACAGACAATCTCCACTTTACATTCAGTTAAAGGCAAGGCACAAGGTGAAGGCAACGGGTTGTGCATGTTGCTGATCTTAGGAGTCCTGTTTGTTGCCAGTATGTGAAGTTCTATCATGTCCTCCCTCCCAGGTCTACTTTCAACAGTCTGGGGAAATTCATCAGCACTGTTTTCCATGGAATGGAACCAATGGCAAGGGAAATTTTGGATCAGTTCTGTCTTAGCTCCATTCTCTGTTAAGGTTTCAGTAGAACTCTCCATGTTTGATATTCCTGCTTCCTGCAGGACAGGCAACAGTGGGCTATGCTGGGGGGTACCATGGGGGTTTTCAGTTTCTACAGATAGTCTAACACTGTTCTCCTCTTCTCTTTGAATGCTACTATTTACAATGTTGTCCAAAAAGCCAGTCTGCAGTCCTCTCACCTGAGATGACTTCTGGACAGCTATATGCTCATTCTCTTGTCCTTGAAGTTCAAAAGCACCCTGTGAATCCACCTGCTGGATGGAAACTGGATTGTCCACAAGAGTATCTGCCTCCTTCTCAGTCTTTTTACACGTACCATCCACATTGCCATCCAGGTTTTCAGTCCTGCTTTCTTTATCCTGGGAAACATCCTCTTCTCCTTCTTTACCTGCTGTTTCCACCGTGCTCCTCATGCTTTCCTCCAGGCCTCCTTCCTCCTTGGTAGCCTCCTGCAAGATGTTCACCATCTGTCCTTCTGCTACACCTGCAGCCACAGAAAGTTCTGCTCCAACCAGAGTCTTGCCTTGTTTGCCCAGGTTCTCCCCATCAAAGAGATCGTCCCCTGGATTCCCAAGGCTGCTGAGCTCTAGAGAACGGCGGTGCTCCTGCCATTTCTCATTGAGACTGGGATCACTACTGCGCCGGTTGGTTGTAGGTACACTGCTGTCACAGGCCGTTGTCAGATTGTCAAAGGACCTTGTCTTTGGTAGCCTGAAGAAGAAAGGAACAAAATGCTAGGCACCATTTTAACTATTAATTGCATTTTCCTTCAGTCACAACAACAAATCTTTAAGCTTTAACAAGCTACTGTACTTACCTATCAAGTTATGAAATCCACAACCAACAATTATCTGGATAGAGGCACTTCCCTCACATGCCAAGGATTAAGTTATCTTAAAATTTTACCACCATCAGAATGTTGAACTCACCTTCCCAGAGGCTGATCTTCAGGAGTAGAGTTTGGGACTGGATAAGGGGCACAAGTATCATCCGCTGGGGTAGAAGGGGAAGAACATGGCAAATAAACTGCACTCCAAAGCATTAGGTTTCGTACGTGGCACACAGGATACAGCACCTAGAGGAGAATAAGGGTCATACTTATAACTCACTTTGCAGAATGCGGCTGTACCTTTGCTAAGGCTGCCCGTCGCTTACCAATGTGCAATTAAATCATGAACATATGCAAGAAATGAATCTATGCTGATGTAATCCACTGAAATTTCTTTGCCCACCACTGATACGGCATTCTTGCCAGAAGAGAGCATGTGCTCTCATCAACAAATCTTTACCAACTTAAAAAAAGACTGGAAAGTCTGAAGAAGCAGAACAACTAACAACCAGACAGGAGTTACCATAAATGAAATCACATTAACAACTAAAAAGTCAATTTAGTATGCCCTCAAAATGGTTTTATTTTATTAATTCTGCTTTTACAGGAGGAGCTGACAGAGACTTGCACGTCTGTTCTCAGTTTGCTTCCCCGGGCAGGTCATATCTAGTGGCTTTACTTCAACAACAGAACTACGTTGTCTGCTTTCAAGCCATACCCCTCAGCTGACTGCCATCTTGGGGTGCAGCTCCCATATGTTTCAGTGGGTTAGGGTTAGGGTTAGGGCACAGGTGTGACGTGTGTGTGTATCTTTAAGTGGTTGGCTTTCCACTCTATGTGACGTATTTAACTTGTTAGAATGCTGAGGGTCAGTTGACTTTCAGGTGTGTGATGTTGTTCTTTGCTCTCCGCTCTTGGTGTGGTCTTCTACGGAATAAAGCTGTTTCATAGACAACGACTGAGTGCTGTTGGTCATCAGACGAGGCATATCGCTGCAGAACATTACAACAGGGAAGTTTCCCACTGGATTTGGCCCTACATTGATAGGCTTTGTGCCACAATTACTCTCAAAGTGCTGCAGTACTGTCTTTTTAGCAACTGGAAAGTGCGGCTACCCAGTACAAAAATTGCCAACACTGAGTAGGTTCAATGGTTAATCTAATGCTGTATGTATTCTCCCAACACAGGCAGACTCTCTTACTCTGCTTAGATACAAGTTCTTAATCCACAAGGCAGGCTAGAACTTAATATATTTTCGTTCCTCCACTTAATCTGACAGCTATACTATCTATTGCACTTGGCACAAGGAATTAAAAAGGTACACACAGATTCCGATTGGGAGGAGTAGAGCAGATTTTTGAAGGCTTTGTTTCCTGCTCGCAGCAAAGACCAAACTGAACATGTCCTTTCTTGGGTGTGCTTTTCTCCTCTCTCCTTCGCATTGTTGCACAGGAATGTACCAAAAAGGCAAGAGTAGGTATGCTGCACCAACTTGACCTACACAGAAATGACAGTGTCAGCCCATAAGCCTGGAAAGCTCTCACACCTGAAGACAAAACATAGAACGATGCATTCATTTGAAGTTTTATTTATTTCAAGGTTTTGGAGACAGGTGCTATAGAAAAATGTGCCACTTTTGCATTTTGTACCAGGAAACCACTACTCTGGATAATCAGTATCAAACAAAGAAGGTTCTAGTCCACAAAAGCTAATGTTGAACAAAATGAGTATTAGAATTTAAGCTGCCACAAAACTCCTATTTCTTTCTTTCTAGAGGACTAATTCATACATGCAAGACGGCTGCTTATTCCTTCCACACACCATGTGTACAGATCATATAGAGAAATCTTTGTATGAACCAACACTATACAATGATATAACCTAGAAAAACTCGTGATGTAATCACAAAAACAGTTACTAATCATCATCAAATTGTATTTGGGTACTATCCAGGCTACTCTGCTGTATCTCCACTCAGTCATGCACACAGAAGTGCATGAGCAAAGAAAGTAGCTGGTTTACATATGTGAACTGGCCTAAAGATGAGCAACATGGTAACTCTTCCTTTTGCTAATTTAATGCAACAAAGATAAGAAAGCTATTTATTTTTCTCTTTTATTATTTTTGCATTTGTGTGTGTGCACCCGTGCCTGGAAGTCATGGTGAACTCTGGCGACTCCTACTGGGGCATGGAGGATGTTCAGAGAAGTGACTTGATAGCCTGTCTCGGCCTCCTGACCTTAATATTTTCTGGATGTCTCCCATTCAAATACTTGCCTGGATCAGCCTTGCTTAGCTTCCAAGATCTGATGAGATTGGGGTTGCCTGGGCTATCCAGGTCAGGGCGAAAGCTATTTATTTTTCAATACCGACAATGGAAGAAGATCCATATTTTAGTATAACAACTAAGTGAAGCAAGATGTTGGAATACAAAATCCTCGGAGTGTTCTATCATTCATTTGAACAGCCTTCTGCATTCTTTTTCTTCTAACTGCAGAAAAGGTTAGGTGGCCTATAGTCAACAGCTAAAAACTCTTGTAAAGAAAAAGAATTACCATTTTCCTAATAAATGTTGGAAATACAATTTGGAGATTTTATTCAATTGGAGTGAAATTATTAAAAAACAGGAGCATATCGGGAGTTATGCTAAACCAGAATTACCAACCAGTAATAGTTTTAGATGTGTCAATCACAGCAAAATAGGGATTTGTGTCTAAGAGGGGGCTCCCCTAGTAGCAGCCTGGCAACTAAAAATCATATGCAAAAATGGTAAAATTATAACTAGTTTAGTTATAATTTGGTTCCCCTAGTCGGGAACACAGAGATGTTTTCATCCCTGAAGAGCCCACTCAAATACTTGGGCTCACTGTGGAGCTGGGAGCAATGAAATAGGCTAGCAGACAGCTTGAGTACAAAGAGGAAGAAAACACCCCCCCCCCCAAAAAAGTGGTTCATCTTCTTGCTTTTTCTGTGGTGGCAATGGCAGCAAAGTGTGGTTACTTCACCACCATCACTGTATCTACACATAGTCACCAACTTGTAGGTGTGAGTTGGGGGAATCCAATGGTTTATCTGGCTAATCAGTACCAGAAGATGAGGCTGAGGATAACTGTTTGAGCCTATGACACATAACTTTTTAATATCTACATGAATCATTGGGTGGGGTCATCTGGGGATCTAGACTGAGGTGTCACTAACATACAGATGACAACTTTTATTCTTATTTTTCCTCAGATCTAGGAGAAATTATAAATGTTCTGAACCAGTTCTGCACTTCTATTTGCCAAGCTGCAACCACATGGCTCTGATACTTCTATCTAGCACGTTTCACCTGAATGAAAGGCAATGGTGCAATTTCTAAATTCAAAACACAAGCAATGCTGCAACACCATGCCACATTGGCTTCTGAGTAAGAATTACTCTATTCCAATGAGGTTCTGATGGAGATATACTCTAATAAACTATTTTGCTTGGTAAGGATGGCCAGATAGTTTCCACATTATTTCCTGCACTATGCCACAAGGGTAGCTGGAGAAGTGACAACCCCCTACGGGCTGGCTATTCAGAACATTAATCTGTTGATTTAGATGTGGTGTGTAAAAACACAATCAACTCACAAGGAATGCTTCGTTAAACTCGAAAGAGCAAGGGAATTGCCTCTGGAGCTGATGGACACAGTCGAGCCACTGCAAAAACACTGGGCAGCGTTCATTCAGGTCATCCGAATTCTCACCATGGCCACAGCGATCGGCAAACTTATGGCCAAAATCCAGCCACTCCGTTTCCACCAGCACCTGGAAACCCTGAGGGAAACAGTGAAATGAGATCTGCTCATTTAATTCCCTTCCACTCCAGTGGACCTGCCAAAAACATTTTGAGATCTGAGGTGGAAAACCCAAAATCCCTCCATTCCTGACAACTACTTAACTTAGGGCACAATCCACCAGGATGCTCTCTTGCACAAGCCCTGATTAAACGAACAGCTGCTCACATTCATTTCAATGAGGCTTGCATAGAACTGCTTCCTTCTGGATTGTGTCCCAAGACAAAATTGGTTTAACACTCTACCACCATCAACAGCATATAAAATCCATCCTTATCTCTCCTTATATATAATTGAGTAAGGGAGCGGAGAAAAAATGCACACCATCAGCCATTGGCCCGCGAGCTTTAACACTCTACCACCATCAACAGCATATAAAATCCATCCTTATCTCTCCTTATATATAATTGAGTAAGGGAGCGGAGAAAAAATGCACACCATCAGCCATTGGCCCGCGAGCTGCCGCTCAAGGCTGCTGGCGTGCTATTGGCTGGGAGGCGAACACTGTGAGCGAACGCCGTTGCCAGGAGCCAGGGAAGGGCGGCTGCGAGGCCAGGCGACGGGGCTGGGCGGGGGGCCGGCGCCAGGAGGACGCAGCAGCCCTGGAAAAGCGGAATGTCAGTGAGGGGGATGGCAGAGGCCGGCGACGGCATGTGAAGAGCTCATTCCCGAACGGCCGCCCGGTCCGCCTCGCTCCACCACCTTCTTTGGCGAGGGGGCCCTGCACCGGGGCCGCCTGGCCTCAGGGACGGGGGAGGTGGCCACGCCACCCATCCCTTGGCCGCCGCACCCGGGGACTGGTAGGCGGTAGCTCCCCTTCCCGCCGCACCGACCACTGCCTCCACGCAGCGTGCGACGACAATCCAGCACGGCCCGAGGCACTTGCCCCGGCCGCACACGTCTTCGCTCTCCTACTTTTCCACCGGTGAGAGGCAAAGTCCTTCAGTGGGCTGAGATTGTGGCCCCGGCCAGGGTGCAGGCCCTGCGTTGGAGGGGGCTCCGCCGGCACTGGCCATGCTCAGGGGCGGGGGAGGCCGCCGCACAGTGCCCCAAGCCGACAGTTCTCCCCAGGGACCGTTGCTTCCTCCCGCAACGGGCATTTCCCCTAGTCTTATAATAAAACCAACTCTGCCACTCCAAGACTCAATTGTACATATGTCCTACAGGCCTGAAATCTCATTTCAGCATTAAACTTACTCTCTCTTCTCCATTTTTACTCTGCATTGGTGCTCTACTCAGGGAAGTAAAATATAAGTATTTAAAGTAAGTAAATATACTTTAGAACTCCCACTGAAGTCTTTTGTAATAATACTCAAGAGGCAGCCCAGCTTTGCTACTTCCCATGCCTTCTGTTACAAACCTCTATGGTCCTGTAATATGGATCCAGTAGCAGCTTAGCCAGAGCCACTATCTGCGGTGTTCGGTCCCAGCCATCTGAACAATGCACCAAGACAGGTCGCTGGTCTCTGTCCACTGCATGAACTACCAGCAGTGCTGATTTCAGAAGCACAGACAGGTGCTGCAGCCATTTGGTGCTTTCCAGAGCTGATAGCCAGCTGCAGATAATCAAGGGAGAATAGTCTGAGCCTCTTTATATCATAAAATGAAGTTTCAGGTCAGCAAATTAAATGACTGTTAAAACAGTAACTGGTGGGCACCTATCTTTCACCCGCACTGAGTCAGTATAGATTCAATGCAGTGATTTTTCAGTCTATCTTCTAAGGATCCCTGAGGTGATCTGGTAGCTTGCAGGAGATTCCTTAATTACCTGTATTTACCTGAAAAGGAAGATGACCTTAAATGTAAGAGGACTCCCCTAAAAATTCTACACACAAGTTTTTTATTACTATACATACTTGTAACTTGTAGGTGAACCTAAGACAACCCCTCCTCCTAGTCTTCCTTTTGAGTAAGTACAGTACATCAGAAATGGAAGTGAATGGCAAAGTAGGGATTAGTCACATCATGTCCAGGGAAAGCCAGGTACAAATCCCCACACGGCTGTGAAGCTCACCAGGTGCCTTGGGCTAGTCATCTCTCTGCCTAACCTACTTCACAGGGTTGTTCAGAAGACAGAACCTTAAAGGAAGCGTGGGATAAAAATCTGACAGTGTGAAGACAGACTGCCCACCACTACTGACCCTTCCCTGCAACAAGCAACATGGTTCCTTTGTCTGCACCAACAATGTTCAGAAAGTCTACGAACTGAGCAAGAGTGCACTTTACAACCCCCTGAAAACTTGCAGGGATTCCAGGGCATAAGTTTCTCTAGTAGGAAGATAGCCAAAAGTCATCTACTTCTTAATACTGTATACATCACATAGCTGTTCTGGAACTTAAGTGAGAGAAAGCTATCATATATTGCCCTGAAAAATAAATTTAGAGTCCAGTGGCACCTTTAAGATCAATAAAGGTTTATTCAAGGTATGAGCTTTCGTGTATATGCATACAAAAGCTCATACCTTGAATAAACCTTTGTTGGCCTTAAAGATGCCACTGGACTCTAAATTTGTTCTACTGTTTCAGACCAATACAGCTGCCCACTTGGAACTGCCCTGAAAAATGTTCCACCTAATCTACCTCACTTAATTTAACTTTCTGAGCAGATACTGATCTATAGCACTGCAATATTTTAAGAGGAATTTTTAAAGGTCTATTTGGGACACTGCCGCCAACTCAGTGTTGCTAGGAAACAGACAGAGATTGAAAACACAGTACTAAAGACCTCCTTAACAGGAGAGCACACCTGCAGAAGGAAAGCACAAGAGTAAGTTTTTTATTGATTTTTGTAGAGATACATGGATCTAAACTTTACCATGTGTAACTCACCTAAAAAATTATGTGAACTAGTCAGAACCATATCAAATTTATTTATACATGTGTGCATACATGTATAAATAAAATTAAATGCAGCAAAGGGCCTAATGGGGAGCAGAAAGGATGTCACTTACTTTCCAGGGTCTGGCATTTGCGTGCAGAGCAAACGCAGCGACTGAAAACTCTTCCGGATAGAATGGATGTTTGCCATTCCCATGAACACTACTTCACAGTTCGGATAATACTCTGTTAAAAAGCATAAGCATAAGAGAAGCTACTCCAAACAAAGCAGAAACTAAATGAATGAAGCAGCTTTACCATAAAAACAAGCTGGCAGCAGCTGTGGCCCATGCTAAGCACCATTATCTCATCAGTCTTTGAGGTTCTCAGGCAGTCCAAACATTAAAACAAAGAGCGACTGTTATGACAGAATAGAGGGGGGTTATTCTAACAGACTGTAAGGAAAACACATGAACTTATTTATCCACCAGACTGGGAACAATAGGGTTCCATCCATAAAATCCCTTTCAAGCCTCATTTTTACCCCCACAGAATGCAATTCTGAGAACCTCCTTAGTTGGCAGTGTGGCATCATGGGGGAGAGGGGAATGATGCAGAGTGCCACTATTCCTAGGGCCTCTTTCAATGTGATCCCCATTTCAAACTCTTTGGCAACACATTTTTTTCCAGCCACCACTCACTAGGATGTGGCACCTGTTAACTGGATGTAGCAAACCAGAGAGGCAGAGAAGGCACATAGATCAATTAATACTGCCCATGCTTTATATGTAATAAGGTCCAACTTCAATCCCTGCCACCTCCAGTTAAGGTGGAGGTACAAGAGGCTGGGAAAGACAGACCCCTGGCTACGCTCACTGTAAGACAATACTAGGTTAAATGGACCAACTCAATATAAGGTACCTTAATATGAAAAAAATACAACATTTATACAAAATACACCTAAGAATCTCTTTCCTTTTCTTTAAAGAGAGCCACTGAATAATTTTTTTTAAATCATATGCTGAAATAGTGCTTTCATCCTATTTTAAATATTTCACCAACCACCCCGATTCTGCATGCCCACTGATTCAAGTATGTCTATTTTGGAACACCACATGGTATTATAATTAGACCTCCCACCATCATTCATTGTTTTACTCATGTTCTTTAGAACATGTAACTATGTTATTATTATCTATAAATATTGCTAATAAATAAATAGTGCTTAAACAAATGAACAACGTGGACATCAGTAAGGTTTTTAAAAGGATGGACATAACCCAGTTCTAAAGTGATCCTCTCTAAATTTTAGGGCACTTTCCTCCTTTCTCATCATCTTTCTGTCTCTACGAGCAGCTACTCTAATCAGGCTGATGAAATTTAGATGAGATCTATTTTCTTCTCTATGTAAATGTACTAATAGAAACAATGAGCACAGTACTGTGACTTACCTGGGCATTCACAGCCTCCTCCTTTGGCCCTGTTTGCCACAGCAGCTGCATAAGAGCGTGCGTCCAAGATCAAGAGTTTCTGAGGCTGGATAGCTAAGCTTTCCACTCCTGAAGCATTTGACATGGAGGAATCTGTACATTTAAAAGGGGGGACGACGACAATTATTCTATAGCAGTTATCCAAAACCACACATGTGAGGGTACACTTAGGCAGCTTAAGATCCTACCAACTTCAGAATACCCTAATTGTAAGCAGGCCTATAACCAGTGCCTTAAATATCTATATATCTTTTATACAACAGCACAAAGGATTGGAATAGAGATATAAAATTTCTCAAAATGTTTCAGTCACTGGGGGAACAGACATTTGCCGATTATCTACCCCTGGAAAAAATGTAAACCTGATGAAAAACTGGAAGTATATGCGATAGTTGACTTATCAAGCCTGAACATTATGCTGCATTAACAATTGAAAATATGTATTTTAAAACTCAGTAATCATATAAAAGTGTACTGTAAGGCATATTTATAAAATGTAAAAGTAAAAATGCTTATACAAGCCATACTGTGAGTGTACCCCATACTAAAGAAAGAGAGCTGCAGATGCACCCTGTGCTATATTAGCACATATATCTTAATTTTTGCAATATGAAAGACAGGAAAAAAAGAAGTGAAAATAGAACACACAAATTTTGTTGTAACAAGCAACTATTTGAACAGTATCAGTCTCAGAGTCACAATAGGATTCGCAGCTTATTTGAATATTGAGTTAAACGTTGTAATGGAACACACTGAACTACTCAATCGTGTATTATAATCAAACGCATACTATATTGTATGCACTTCTAATACACATCAAAATTATTATATAATGCTGCACACTGACTTATATTAAGAATTAGATACACAACTTACACAGGTTTTGGGTAAAATCCTGTCTTAAAAAGCATTTCACTTGTTCCAAAAGACAAAATATTTTATAGTTTCAGTGCTCCTTTGGGAAAAGCAGGGCCTTCACATGTCTAGATTGCAGGCAAAGACCATCTCTCTCACTCTCTCTCTCCCTCCACCTGCCTGCCTGCCAAAAGTTGGTGGAAGCTTCTCATTTTAACTTAATGGAAAAAGACACTCAAAATATGTATCTTTCTTTGTTAAAGCAAAATGTAAGGACTTTGGGAGCTTACCAAACTCCATATCAGAAAAGTCTCCTCCGTTGGAAAAATCTCTTGAACAGTTTCCATTCATTAGTTTACTGTTGTTGGACTTCGAGTCTGAGGCACAGGCTTTGGCCACTGATTGGACAAGATGTTCATCATCAGCATTTCTCCAGCCCCACCAACTGACTTCAGGCTGCCCACAACGGGAAATTACAGCTCCATTGCTCTGGTGCCTATACAAGAAACAGAAATTAAACCATCTAAGCGTAAACAGCATAAGAGGACCCTAAATGCAGATAGTGCTAGAATAAAAGCACTTAGTGAATCAGGAATTAAGGCCTTAAACAGTTCGGGACCAGGGTACTCGAAAGATCATTTTCTACTGTACTGTCCAGCTTGCTAATTAAGATCCTCCCTCCTCCCTGACCTGATCGGCAAGCCCAATCTCATCAGATCTCAGAAGCTAAGCAGAGCCGACCCTGGAGAGTATTTGGATGGGAGACCTCCAAAGAATACCACGGAGACAGAGGCAGGCTATCAAGCCACTTCTCAGAACATCCTCCATGCCCCAGTAGGAATCGCCAGAAGTCGCCATTACTACCAGGCACAGGTCTGCGCACACATGCACACTCCAAAAATGCAATACCAAAAAAAGAGATCCTCATCCCAAACCCTGCAGTGATGAGGTGGGTAGCAACCAGAGACTACTTTTTTAGTTGTAGCCCTGCACCTCTGGAGTCCTTGAGGTTTGCTAGATGTTTATTGTCCTTTAGATGACAGGACAAAATATTTTTCTTTAACCAAGCTTTTAATGGAAGGGCTTCAGCTTTTCAGTTGTTTTAAAAGGCTATGTGAGAGTACCTCCAAAAACTGTTTTTTAAAAAAAACTGAACCAAAGGTTACATGACCATTTACAGTATGTTATGATTTTGTCTAGGCAAGTACGTGTATAATAGAGAAACACCTAGAATTGAGCAGCTGCCAGTTTAATCCTGGAGAGTCACAGCGATGCACAGCTGAGGTTAATGCTGATCAGCACCTTCAAGAATTCGGCCGTGCATTTTGTTCAGAATAAACAACCAGGCCCATGTGTAGTTTCATATAATCTGTGCATCCTTAAAGCCAGGTATTTTGCTTTGGGCAAATGAGAGACTACAGAGTTAAGATGACACCTGTTATACGATATTATTTCCAACATGCAACTGGTCATTTGAGTCCAAACTGCATTTAATATGATGTCTTTGAGCCTGGGTACATGCTCCCCTCTGCAGTGGGAGATGTTCAGTGAAGATCAAGAACATTCTTTGAATCAAACCTTTCTTTGAATCAAACCTTTCTCCATATTGAAATATAAGCTTGCTTAGGCTGATATGACTATTCAATGAGGAAAAAAATTACTGTAATTTGTGTACTATTA